AAAATAAAAATATGGCACTCTAAGAAGAAGAATCATATGTTTTACGGTGCTTTCAGGTTTCTCAGTAACATCTGTCTGTGAATTTTCCATAACTTATACAATGAGAGGAAAGAAATAAGCTATAGAGGGGATGAAACACTTCAGTAAATATGCATTGAATGATCAAAAATTATGACTTGAAATGACCTTTATTCAGACACGTGTTACACGTTGTTGAACGATTTCGCCATCTTTTTTGTTCTCTCTTTAGCACAGCAGACGTCCACATATCGGATATGCTGAGCTTAACAAAATAAGAGATAGGAAATCGACTATGCAAGAGAATCTACTAAGAAAGAAGTTCGCACAGGCACATAATGTCATTATGTATTTTGTTTATTTATATTTCATGTTTAAATATGTTCAAATAATATTTTAATCTGCTTAATTATATTTAAAACATGCAAAATAATCTTATGGCTTTTATAGGTACTAATTGGGTATCCAAATAGTTGCCAATTTCATGTTTACGAAATTACCCGACAGCTGCCAAGATTCTCAATGTACTCCTTAAAAGAGGTTGGCCGAAATTCAAGAAGTGAAAGCTACGTAGAATTTAAAATTACCGAACGTCTACAAAGAATATGCATGTGGATCAATCAGAATTTCTTGCTTCCCAATGACATAGAATTTGATTCTGGACCAAATTTAACCTTGAGTTTAAGGTGTTTAAGAAATGATACGGATCTGGATATAGTGTTTGAGATATCTGGAAAAATTACTATTTATACCAGTAATATATCTCTAGCTGCGGATATAATACAGTCTATTGCCGCGTATCTTAACATAGGAAATTTAGAGGTATGAAAAATATTTTTTTTATATATTCATGTATGTGTAAATATTAGGTATAGAAATAATCTGTTAATTAAAAAATTTGCAGAACGATTTTTATAAATTAGAAAATTAAAAGATCTAGGCTTAGACGAAATTATTCGTTTTGGCTATTATAACTTATAAACATCCATATAAACGATTTATATAGATAAAAATTAATATTCTAAAAAATAAATAAAAATTTATCGTAAATTTAGGATTAGGTCAAAAATTTAAAGAAAAATCTTCAAAAAAATGAAAATTATAATAATCACTTACAGCAACATTAACCAGTAGAAGAATCTTTTTTGTACTTTTGATCATTATTTTTATAATTATTTTTTATGTTTACAAGAAATCAAGAAATTTTTTAAATGTTAGTCTAGTGCGTCTTTTCCCCAAGAAGAAGAGAAGGTATCTACTTTAATGGGAAAACTACAAGACATTCAAAATGCCAGATTGCGATTAGAAACCGATGTTGCTGATCGAACTTCGCAAATCAGAGCGTTAATTGTTCAAGCAGATGATTGTAGGATAAATAATTTGTAAGTTTTTTGTTATTTATTTAAATTTTAAGCTATTTAGATAAAGCCATACGCATAAAAATATGGTAAAACTTGAATATAAGATGTTTTCATGCAAATTTTCGGCATTCTGGAGGTAATTTACTGATAAAACTGCTAAGTCCTCTTTTTTTATTTATTTTTGCCCTGCGCAATTTTGCTACAAAAATTTGGAAGAATTCTGATGTTTCATGATTTTTCACTGATAAATACCTAATTTTTTTTAAGATTTTTTTGGCACGAATTGACCTCAGAAAAATATTTTAAATCTTAGTCCTTCTTTTAAGTAACGGTTAAAAATATTTGCCTTACTTTTAAATAATCATGATTTGTGTATTTTTTAATGTGTTTTTAAACGCTGTTATTAGAATTGCGATTATACTTGTGAGTTTTGCCAAAAATCTAAAACCCAAATTTTTTTAGTTTTGGCGATTTATTTTAAACCTAACCTCAAAATTCAGTAGTCAAGTTGTTGATAATGCACATGAGAATAATAAATTAATATTAAAAATAACTAAAATAATCATAATAATCATTTGATATCCTCTAAAAATAATATCTTCTATTTTTCAAAGGTCAATTCGAACAAACTTTAATTTTTGATTGGAAGAAAAATATATAAAGACAAATGACAATCAGCAGATAGATAAAACGTGAGAAAATTCATTTTCCTTTTTTTTTTTTTTGTTGACATGGTTGTGGTTCATTTGTCTTCTTATTTTGTTATAAAATAAAAATAAAAGTTTAAAATATCTTGGAACCAAGAACAAGTTTTTTATAATTGATTACTACGTTAACGTTTAGAAATATACCATTGCGGAGATAGGGCCATGTATTTCTTATGGACGATAGCAACTCGGCGTTGCCACGACACACAACAAGCAACAATTTTAGGGTTGTATAATTTGTATTTTTGTTTCCACAAACATGAATTAAATTCATGATTTTTTAACGTAATTGACCAAAAGTGCCATTCGAAACAAGAGATGAAAAGTAGGGGAAAATGTTATTAATTAGATAAATAGTATTTACAAAAGATAATTTTATTTTATCTTATTTTAATTATATAACGACAGTTTATTTGTTTTTCGGAGAGAATATAATATGCCATGAATCATAGAAATCAGTGAAAATATTTGACCGCTTGGAATGCGTATATCTAATTACTAATTGCAACTTAAAATAATACGATGTGCGTATGTCAGCTATTTTATGTCGTCTCATGACTACATAATGTAAATAAGGTTTTATTTAGTAGTTATTCTGACTTTACAGTTAAATGTTAAAAAATGAAAATTCAAAAATTAAGCAAAGGGAATATCTGGACATCCGTGCAAAGAGAGATGTCTGAGAGTTTTGGCAACACTGATCTCCATTAGCGTAATGATATTTTTTAACTTGATTAATAAATTACCACATTTAATTTGCAACCGGTCTTCTTAGGTGGAATATACTTTATCGACCTTTTATCTGCTACCAGAAACCACGAATTACAAACAACTATTAAACTTACTGATTAAACACCTTAATGCGAGACTATTAAAAAAATATTAAGTTTATACATGCAAGATTATTCAGAAGTCTGAACGCGGATATGAGTAATACACAATTTGGCTTTCGTTAATGGTTTCTGCACAGTAGAAGCTTGTTATAGTTTTACAACTTTTGCTCCTCAAAAAATGCTGAGACCAATAAACAAGATTCTTTTCGTCGCATTTATAGATATGGAAAAGTTTCGACAAAGTTAAATGACATTCTCATGGAATTTCTATAGTGAGTAATTCTCTCTTTGGAATCAACAGGCTCAGGACACACTTAGATGGAAAAGACGGATAGGCAACAGATAAGTAGAAGATAATCAGGAAGAGGTTGTTTGGTATAGCTGTGAAATAACACGTTGTTTTAAAAAATTTCTTTCAGTTTTTTTTTGTTTTTTTTCCTTGTGTATCCGAAAAAAATTCGACTGTACAAACGACAAGCAGCTACTAAATAAGCAAAAAGTCAAATAACTCATTGGATACGTCAGTATGATCAAATTTGAAGGGAGCGTGTGAAAAGTAGGCTTTCTAAATTTAAACAAACAGCAATTGTAAACGTTCATAACGTCAGTTTGCTCAAATAGATTGGAGACACCGATTTAAGATACTACTGCTTTCGTAAGAAACGTCCAACACTACACAGATAGGACTTTAAAAATCGGCCAACCTTTTTTAAAAAATACCCTAAAAAGGAAGCTGATATATTTAAAACACTTTTACTGAGGTCTTTTTGTCAACAAAATGTGAAACTAATTAGAAATAATTTATCACATAAAACATCGCACTTTCAATGAATGTTATTTCAAACTTATTATAAACAAAAGTTTCACTCAGGGAAAAAAATTAAAATAATAATGAAAGTAAGCTAATTTAGTAATAATAAGAACGGTCCATATAATATATATATATATATATATATATATATTATATATAATAAAATCTATATATATATCTATATCTAGGGTAGGGCCGACCGACGAAACTCTGGACTTCAAAAAAAGACAAAACGAATCAAAACAGGAACGCAATACCCGTATACCAAGCTGCGTATATGTGTAAAAAATACTTGTGTTTTTTTGTTTGTATTTTGAAAAAAATGTTCTTCAGCCCTCTACCAGCCCTTACGTGACCTTGACAAATATAAATAAATAACTTCGGAACACTCCATACCCGCTCAAAAGTTTGTCTTTTCACCGATTGTATAAATCTTTTGTTTTTTTTCTTATTATTTTAAAATGATTTAATCCAGCCCTCTACCACCCCTCTAACTAAAATAAAATCTCAATTTTCCAACTTTTTCCAAAACACAACATGTTAAATTCACTCGTATCACTTTACAAGCATTAAACAGTATAATAATCTAATATAAACGTTATTTTAATCCTGATTGTCTTGGTTCGTGAGGGCCTCGGATTACCATCGAGCCCAGTCCCGGCTGAGATGGATCGTCGAGAGTTATGGTACTTGTCGTCGATTAATCTTCTTAGTGCGAAATAAGCTTTCGGGTGAACGCATGTTTATTGTTTTTTTGTTGAAAGCCAAGACGAATAGATTGTGTTTGTTGTATTTGCGTGAATACCTAGCACGACCATAAATATGGCTGCTTTAAAATTAAATATTACAAGAAGTAAAGTAGAATGTCCAATTTTCGGTAACCCAGTCGACTTAAACTGTCATGTTTTACAACGATAGAACATGTGCTTCGATGTTATTGTTTATTCGTTTGAACTGAAGTTTACTAATATTTTGGAAAGGAACCAAGTTTTTAATGAGTTTGTGAAGTGCTTGTGCCAAAAATCAAAGTATATGGGAATCAGCGTCAATTCCAACCGTGTCAAAGGACCGATCATGCAATTATTACGTAAATATCATAATAATAATTTAAACCTTATCAGATATCCAAAAAGCAAGAAGAAAAGTTCAATATGAGTTAAAGATTACCAGCTTCAAAGAGGAAAACGGGATAAAGTGTTCGACATTGCTGCCTGTAAGTGTGATTTTTCTGCATGCCAAGTATTGCAGTGTGATAAATCAAGAAAAGTACCTAAGCAGGAACAGGAATTTCTTTTGGATCAACGGTCCACTAGAGATATGGGCTATAGGAACTGTTGATCGTGAAACAACTAAAAAGTTGAATGTACGGACGGAGAGACAAACAAAAGAAACAGAACGAGTTACAAAAATTCAAATCTGAACTTTCACAATATTTCTATGCCCAGCTGTTCTACTGAGGTCACTAGGTTATCAACAGACTCTGACAATTCTTCTTCATCTGAAGCCTCACTAGTGTTGCAAATATTGATTTACCGTCGACGAAACCATCCTGGTAGTCAAATGAGGATAGAGTTGCCCACATTAGGTACCATATGTGACAAATATGGAATTTCTGACAGGTCAGCAGCTGCTGTATGCCACAGCTGATTAAAAGATGTGGGAATTATTTGCGATAGTGATACCTCAAAAGTAATCGATAAAAATAAAGTTAGAAGAGCTCGTCAAAAGAACAGAAATATCCCTTAGTAATGAGTTACAGTCTACAAATAAACCCATTAAGAGTATTTACTTTGATGGCAGGAAGGACAAAACCTTAGTGCAGGAAAAGAAAGGTGAGAGATATCATAAAAGAACTATTGCAGAAGAACATGTGTCCATTGATAGAAGAAACCGAATTCTGTTTTATTTTGGGGCACGTTACCCCATCTGCAGGCTCAGCCAACGTCAATTGGAAAGGCAATAATAGACTTTCTCATTTCAAATAAACTTCTGTTTGGATAATTTAGTGGCGATTGGTTTGTGACGGAACCATAGGTGAATACTGGACATAAAAATGGAGTTATAACATATATCGAAAATGAACTTAAGCGACCTTTGCAATGGTTTGTGTGTGCCTTACATGCTAATGAGTTGCCATTGAGACATTTATTTCAACGTTTGGATGGAGCTACTACTGGACCTCGTCAATTCTCTGGAGTGATCGGGAAATTATTGGAAAAATGCGAACACCTTCCAATCGTAGATTTTGAAATAATTGAAAGTGATCTCCAGAAACTAACAATTACCATCTAAAGAATTTAAGCTCAGACCAGTCATATCTGTACGACATATGCCAAGCAATATCAAATGGCAACGTCTATGAAAATTTAGCAAATCGTACGCCTGGAAAGTTAGCTCATTCCAGATGGCTGACAATGGCAAATAGAGTTCTTCGCCTCTACGTTGGAACCGAACATCTACATCAAGATTGAAAGATCTTGTTCATTTATAATTAAAGTCTATGCACCAATGTGGTTTTTTATAAAAGCTTAATCCAAGTTGCACACAAGCCAGTTTGCATGTTTTCAAATCCATTACACTTATCAAGATATTTAAGAGATGATCTTAAAAATATTATAGATGCAGTTATCCAACGAAACTCCTATTATATTCATCCGGAGAATCTTCTCTTATGTATGTTAACAGATAATCGTCAATGGGTACGAGAATTAGCTTTACGGAGAATTATTAAAGCCAGAAAAGAGAAAAAAGTCGGAATAAGGCAGTTTAAAATACCAGAAATAAACTTTAATGCTGCGGAGTATTTTGAGTTAATAAACTGGAGTGAATGTGAAGTAACGGCCCCACCAATGTTAGCTGACATACCAGATGATGAGCTGAAACAGTTAATTGATAGCTCTATAATTGCAGACTTTGACTTTCCAAAATATCCATGCCACACGCAAAGCTGTGGAGAGATGTGTGAAATTGGTTTCGGAATCATCTTTGCTAGTTACAGGGCCAGAACGCAGAGAGACGGATTTATTCGATCTAAAATAAAATCAAAAGACTTTCTTGTAACTTACGATAACAAAGCACAATTTAAATTGAATGAACGCATTTTTCTATTGATTTTTTTATTTCGCATTTTAGTGTGTTTAAAAATAGGATATTTATATTTTTGTTTGTTTTCGGTTTCCAATAAACTTTTAGTTCAGTTCAAATTTTGTTTTATTTCCCAACACCTATAAAATGTGCAGTAGTTTCCCATATTTACACACACATTTTTCAGAAATAATTGTGAATTTATTATTTTTATTTTTGATTCAAGATCATTATCTGTTGGTAGAGGGGTAGAATATCTTATTCTAAATGTATAAAAAAAATATACATGAACTCTTTGCATATAATTGAAACTTTTTACAGGTATTGCTAATTAAATTAAATAATTTTGATTTAGGGTTCACTTTAGGGGTGGTAGAGGGCCTGAAGATGTTTTTTTAAAAATCCTAAAAAAAATACAGTGATTATACTTACCAAAAGGCATCTTGTTTGGGGGTATGTGTGTATTAAAACTAAACAAATAATTTTTTCGGCCCACCCTAATATATATATATATATATATATAATATATATATATATATATATAATTATGGGTATATTTTTCCAGGTATTTGCGTCACGCCATTGTCAGACATTTTTCTATTGTACTATTTGCAGTGGCATTTCCTTGTTAAATACTTTTCATCATTCTATTTTGCCATTTTCTTTCGTCTACTTTAACCATTTTTATTTTATTTGCTAATATACGTAATATTTTCATCTGGTATTTCAACTTTGGATATTTTTGTTTCTATGCTTGAGAGTTATTGAATATTTATCGCCTGATTATTATTAGGTATAATGAAATTTACCTAGAAAAAGCGATCAAAACCCTCGAATGGGGGTGACAAAGGAATAAATGTGGATGGAGAGATGCTACACCACCTAACCTACGCAGACGATATACTCTTGATTGCAGACGATTTGGGACAAACAAACTGGTAGACAAATATATATTATATATATATTCATATATATATATAGTATATATTATATATATCTGGGGTCACGAAATTAAGATAAGTAGGGACAATCAAATAAACCGAAGTATCCAGAATCACTAATACAAGGATGGGCAGGCAGGGAACGTTTTTAAGAGTGACATCCCAACTAATATGAAGAAAAAAGTTTTAGACTAATGCGTGGTACCGATGATGATCTATGGCGCAGAAATATTATCGCTCTTAAAGAAAAAACGCACAAAAACTAAGAGTAGCGCAGAGAGAGGAATGGAGCGATCAATGACTGGGGCCACTCTGCAAGACAGAATTAGAAAACGAAGATCTACGATCTAAGACCAAAGTCATAGACGTCATTGAAAGAAGCTGTAACTTAAAATGGAAATGGGCTGCACAAGTTGCCAGAACGAAGGATGGAAGACGGACTCGCAAACCAGTTGAATGGAGACCAAGAGCCGATAAACGTAGCAGAGGAAGACCACCACCACGATGGAAAGATGACTTACGAAAGACAACAAAAAACTAGATACAGCAAGCACAAGATAGAACACCTGGAGACAAACAGGGGAGGCCTATGTCCAGCAGTGGATTGAGAGAGGCTAATGATGTTAAGGAAATTTATAAAAAAAATCAATTTATTTTCAACGATAATGTCTGTTGTAATAACCGTTCTGATTTAGTAATTTTTAAAATATTTTTAGCTTTAATTATGTTACAGAAACGCACTACCGGATCAATACAAGGAATTAATGACTATAAATGCAGAACTGATCAATGGATACAACATCAGGTTGCAAAATTATAATGAAGGTGTTGAAACCATGAAAACACTCAATTCAATTATACAGAAGGCTTCAAGACTAAGAGGTGAGTGAGAATATACTTACACATATTATAAATGTAAACATACATTTGTTTTAGTCGGATCCAAGTCGTCAAATATGATTAATTTTTGTAGAACATGTTTGAATAACAACAGCGCCGAAGGACTTCTTAAAGTTATCAAAACGGGTGAAATGTAATGTGATCTATTTTATAATTTTTCTTTATAAATTAATAAAATATAATAACTGTGTTGTTTTTTACATACAAGAAGAAGTGCGAAGAAATCCAAAAGACTAGCAAATCAAGAAAAAACTAAAATTGTAAGTAATTTTTTTTGTAATTGTCAGAAATTTGAAACTTACGCTAATGTTAAAATCTAAGCTCCCAGGAAAATGGAAGGGTGTACAGTCTTGTAGGAGTTCGAAAACCTAAAAGGATAGTAACTGCACAAGTGTGCGATTCAATTGTTCCGAAGTAAAGAACAAAAGCTCGAAAATGGCACACAAATGGTCCATACAACTTTGTTGACAGCTGGTCTAAATAGATGTCTGATAGTCATTCTTGCCCACTGTCTGGTGTTCTTCAACCACTGTAGTAAGCGACAGTACTTGGGCAAGATTTAATTGTTAAAATTGTGCTCGATATTTGCCTTTCATTTTCAAAATTATATATTTGTTTATCATCTTGGTTGTTTAGGGAAGTCGAAGTGTTGAGCGAAAACTACTGGCAATTTTTATATAACCACAATAACAGTTGCCATCTGTCAAATTGTAGCAATTGTAGTTATAAGTACTCTAAATAAAAACTTTTTATACAATACAATTATATATATTAAAATACCATAATATAACAAACGATTTATTTAATGTAAATTCTACAATATTTACAAAAAAAATTAAAAACAGTAGGGTAGAACGCATTTATTTGTGCTTGTAGATTTTGAACTATTTATCAGTTGCTGGTAACAAAAGTACTTGTGGTAAAATTTTTGGTAAATTAATAATATCCTAAAACAAAAAGCAAAATTAGATTATATTAGAAATTTCTAGTTTAATGAGAGTCAGAATTATAATTTATTCGTCTTCCAGGTTTGGAATCGTGTCATTTGTGAGTGACCCAAAAGTGGGTTCATCTCGACGTTTCGCTACAATTGTATGTAGCTTCTTCAGGAGAACAAGAAAGAAAAAGAAATCAAAAGACAGGAAGATGGGTAGTTAGCAACGGTAACTCTAGTTACTCAACGCAACCAGAGGCGAATACTAACTACCAAGATGGGCATTTGGTCACAGTAACTCAACTACTCAACGCAGCCAGAGGTGAAAACCAAATGCCAGGACAGGGATTCACGTCCAACAGCTCAGAACACTAACGCGTCGAGAGGCGGGGAGTGAATCCGACGATTACTCCGCTACCGCTCTATTTATAGTCGCGGTGACCTGTCGTGTCGGGACGTATCGGCACACTCCGTGGCGCGAACGTCAAGAAGCGCGCGCTGGCCAATCATGTGGCTGCATCGTGGTAGCGGGACCGGACGGAGGCTCTAGACTGAGATTCCAGATGGGAGACAAGTAGTATCCTTCCTCTCGATTGATGTTATGTGGATTTTTTCGGATCTCTAGAGATTCGCGGATTTTCCTGGAATAAAAGAAGGGGCTCTTAGAAATAATATGGGTTTTTTCGAACAATATGGAATGACCGGTTTCTTGGCAGTGTTCTGCAACTGCAGAATGGGAGAAAAGACCTGATCGAATGCATCTTTGATGCTCTTGAATCCGAGTTTTGACGGAACGACCAGTTTCGCCAATATACACATGTCCACATGAACAAGGAATAGAATAGACACCACAGGAAGATAGGGGCGGTAATGGGTCCTTAGGAGAGGGTAGATATTGTGAGATTTTCTTGGGTGGTCGAAAAGTAGTCCTGATACCTTCTTTGCGAAGAATTTTGCCAATCCTATTCAGTGACATTTCGAATATACGGAAGAAAAGCCACAGGAGTATTACCCGAAGATTCTGAATTTGTCGTCCTAGGGTGTAAAGGGGGATGTAGATGTCGGTGTGTAATATTTTGAATTGTGGACTTGGAGTAACCGTTGGCGACAAGGGTTTTTTGCAGATGGCCAAGTTCTTCTCTAAGGTTGTCGGGTTCAGAAATCGAAATGGCCCGATGGATGAGAGAGTTGATCACAGAATTCTTTTGGGCAGGATGGTGGTGTGATGAAGCATGTAGGTAACGATTCGTGTGAGTCTTTTTTCTATAAACAGAGTGACCCAATCGGCCATTGGGCTTGGAGGTGACTAACACATCGAGAAAGGGAAGGGACCGATTATTTTCTACTTCCATTGTGAATTTTATACTCGGATGTTGTGAGTTAAGATGATCTAGGAAGGGAGAAAGGGTATGTTGACCATGGGGCCAGATGATAAATGTATCATCAACGTAGCGGAACCAGACTTTTGGTTTTAAGGGGTAAGATTCTAGGGCTAAAGACTCAAAGGCTTCCATGAAAATGTCAGCAATGACAGGGGAAAGGGAGAACCCATTGGGTGTTCCAGATATTTGTTTGTAGAAATTGCCTCTAAAAGAAAAATATGTTGAAAGGAGGCATTTTTCCGCAAGATCTGCCAAAACCAAAGACTTGTTATCATTGGTCAAGTGATCTCGCAGAACAACTAGAGAGTCATGTATGGGGATATTGGTAAATAGGGATGATACATCGAAACTGACGAGAATGTCTTGGGGATCGACCGTGAGGGAGGAGATTAAGGTGATGAAATGTGTGGAATTTCGGACATAAGAAGAGGTACGACCAGTATAGGTCTTAAACTGATTCGACAAGTACTTTGCGAGTTTGTAGGTAGGAGAGTTAATCGTAGTCACAATGGGACGAAGAGGTACGTTGTCTTTATGGATTTTGGGAAGACCGTAAATTCTGGGGCAGATGGAGTTTTTCGGAACTATGGACTTCTTAACTTCATCGGAAAGATCGGATTGTTTGATGGCATGGGAAATTTCGCGTTCGACTCTAGGAGTGGGGTCTCGAGAAATTGTATTATAACAGGATGTATCCCTAAGTAAGTCGTTTACTTTCTCTATGTAGGAAGGAGTATCCAGGATGACTGTGGCATTACCTTTGTCTGCAGGAAGGATTATTATCTCAGAAAGAGAACGGAGATTTTTGAGAGCTATGAATTCCTCACGAGATATATTGGAAGTAGGGATTTTGGCTGTATCAAGACATTTAGCGACGTCAAAGCGGATACGGTCGGCTGGAATTTTGGGAATTGTGCGGAGTGCCGCTTCCACATTTGAAACTATTTCTTCGGTAGGAATTCTGGACGGTAGTGATAGCAAAATTAAGACCTTTAGATAGAAGACTGCTTTCTGCAACTTGTTAATTGGTGAGAAGAAAGATAACGACGGTTTAGTAAGAGGTGAATGAGAAGTAGAAGTGGTGGAATGTGATTTTTTTATATAAAAGAGATTGGAATTCTTTTTGTGAGTTTCGTTGCTTAGAAGAAGGATTTTATCGGCTTGATGATAGGAAATGCGGTCTAAAAGTGACCCATCATCGACATTAAGATATACTGGAGAGTTCAATGCTGCAGCTTATAAAAAGTTATAAATGTTTATGTGTTATAAAAAATGCAAGTATATTTAATATTATTATATATTTTATAATATACACTATAATCTTTGATCATAATCAACATCATCGGTGCTGCAGTTCTCTAGTAGAGCTGTAGTACCGATGACGTGGCGAAATATACTTCACAAAGTCTATTTCGCCAGTCAAGCCAATCCATTCGATCAATCAATCTATTTCCAACCCCAACTGTTGCCAGTATGTTTCACCTAATTATCTAATATTTTCATCAACAATCTACAATATCCTTCCATCTACGTTGTGGCCTTCATCTTCGGCAACTTTCTATCGGCTGTGGCACGAGGATTCGTCTAGGAGGATTAAACTGCTGCGATCGTGCAAGATCTCCTGCCCATCTTAGTCTTCCTATTTTTGTGAGATATCACGTCTTTACCACCAAAGGAGACCAGTGTCGTCAAAATAACAAAAGATAAGTCACGAATCGGCAGAAGAAGTATCAGATGACTTCGCAAAAGATAAAATGTTAACCTTCCATAGAGATATTAATCCGCCAATGAACAAGCAGAATTGCTTACAAAGAGAAAAAAGAAGAAGAAGAAAATGAGAAATTATAAAATAAACTACACCTCAAGAAACTTAAGAAGTAGGAAAGTCAAAGTGCTCTTTGAACGGGTCTAAGACTAGGCGATCCACTTTCCCCCTTGTTATTTATCTTCGCTTTAGAACAACAAACGGCTTCGCTTTAGAACAACAGAAATGGGAAATAACTTTTTACCCTTTTTGAAAGTGAGGTCAGGAGACTGGCCTTTAAGTCTACGAAAATAAGAGCAAGTACCTACATGGTAGTTACTAAAAATGCAAGATTAAGAATTACTCAAAATATTTTAAAAAATGAATGCAATTTTTAAATTGTAAAAATTTCAAATACTTGGAAGCGATGATAACAACCGAAAATAGTTATGAAAAAATGTTGCAGCTAGAATCATGCTACTTTAAACAAAATTTCACTTAAACATAGCTAAAACAAAGGTATATAAAGCTAAAATTTATGCCATAATAATCTACGGATGTAAGACATGGACACTGAACCAGCTTTAAGAAACAAATTTATTAGTCTTAGAACAGAATATGCTTTGGACGATCTTTAAACTTTGTAGATAACAGTAGATAACAGGAAAGTGGAGACGAAGACGTAATCAGAAACTGCAATCACTTCATGGAGATGAAAAAATTGTGGGATACATCAACGAAAATCGTATAAGATGGGCAGGATATGTAATGAGACCAAACGATAAAAGACTGGGAAAGTTCCGATGGCAGAAGGTCAGTTGGCCGCCAAAGAAAAAGATGAAAACGTGTGATCCACATACGATGGAGGTGCAACAATGAGAAATTGCTGCACAAGACCATCAAGAATGGAGGAAAATAGTAAATGTGGCCAAGACCCACTTGTAGTTGTAGAGCCAGGAGAAGAAGAATTGTCATATATACGTCTCATATATGATAAATTCACGGCGATAAGCACATGATATTTATAACAAAAAATATGTATTAGCGAACTAGTGTGTTTAGTTACTAGGACAAGTTAGTATTAATTACACTGTCATTTATTAGATAATCATTGTAAAAAACTTACCGCCAAATCCATCAAAATCATCGTATCCGTATCCACCGTATCCTTCGTATCCACCATAGTATGGATAGCGGTACCTGTAAAGCCTATTGTAACCATAGGGATAGCCACCATATCTGCCATACCCGTATCTGCCATACCCTCCGAAACCCAAGGAAGATCCTATGCCACCAAGAATTGAGTCGAAACCATACGGAGTTGGAGATGGAGCCCCAACGGCGCAAGCAATGAGAACAGCTAGAATAACCTGTGGGAAGAAAATTTAAATATGTAAAAGATCCACTATTTTCACATGTCATATTTTTAAATGACACTACAATTATCTGGAGTAATAATGCCATGCGACCGGATGAAGTACCTAAAGAAATCTTAAGACTACTAATAGAGAACCAGAGAAATATCTACAATATTAAAGATATATATTTAAATTGTATCTAGACTTGGTAAACCTTGTATTCGCATTAAACCTTTATTTATGAGAGATAAAAAAAGGATCAAAAATAACACTCGGTCCGAATGATGATGAACGCCTAGAAAAAAAAATAAAATACTATGAAGTCCTAGATGAAACTATTTCTCAAATAGGTCAAACAAGGGAAACTATTATACAGGTGACCTCAATGCAAGAACTGGTAGAAGAAATAAACGATAAAACAATAGGACCATATGGAGAAAACACTACAAACGACAATGGCAATAACTTAATAGGAATGTGTAGACACAACTCACTAAGGATCATGAATGGGTATTTCAAACATAAGGAAATACATACATATACATGGACTCTGCCTACAAGAAACTTAAGATCAGTAATTGATTACCTAATAATAAAACAAAAACATAAAATAAAAGGGCGTGTCTACTAAAATGATACTACCTCTAAGCAGAAATGGTAAACATCAACAAAATAAAAATCTAAATGAAAATCAGTCAGCAGAAGTTGAACAACTGCAGTACAATTTAACAAGTTTAGACAACGATAGTACTAGAAAATTGCATAAAAAAAGATTGAAGCAACAACTACTACAGGAATTCAAACATAAAATAACAGAAGAGTTACATAGAATAATAAGAAAAGGAATACATCAAGCAGCCAAAGAAGCATTAGGTATAAGAGTAAACAAACTCAAAAAAACAAATAATTGGTAGAATGAACTACATGAAATGAAAGGACAAGGGCAAAAATTATATCACAGATGGCTGGGAACAAAGGATCAAGAACACAAAAGAGAATACAGAGAAATGGTAAATAAATTTTAATCCACGATAAAAGAGTCAAAAAATCAAAGCTGGGAGAGAAAATGTCAGGAATTAGATACGTACATTGGCTGCCGTTAATCAGGAGAATCCTGGAGGTTTATAAAAAACATCAGATCCAACAAAACAGAACAAATAGTCGTACACTCCATAGAGCCTGAAAAATGGGAAAAACACTATAAAATACTGTAAACGAAGTAAATTTACAAAAAACGCATTATCTTTGCATAGGAGGAGAAAATACTCCAGAGGACCTCGACTTAGAAGATGGGAAAATTCAGAAATACGATCAATGTATATATTTGGGGGTAAAACTAGCAAAGATAGGAAAAACCGATGAAGCCATAAAAGACAGAATAACCAAAGGGAAACGAGTTATAGATGCATTAAATTCAGTACTATGGCAGAAAAATATAAGACCGGAAACGAAAAACAGAATATATAATACCATATTGAAACCAGTAATCGTCTATGGCTCAGAAGTATGGCAGGTATCACAAAAACTTACAGGTAACCTATTGGCAATTGAAATGAATTTTTGGATTAGAACATGTGAGAAATAAGAACATAAGGAATCAAATGAATGTACAAAGATCAATTATAGAAGACATCGAAAAACAACATGGTACGGATATGTTAAAGGTATGGGGAAGAAAGACTACAAAAAAAAATATTAGAATGGGTACCACCAGCGAAAATAATACGAGGATTACCAACAACAACATGGATGCAAGGAATTTCAAAAGCAATGTCAGCAAGAAATCTATCCGAAGAAGACTGGCAGAATAGACAGGCTTGGCGAAGATTAAAATAAAATAGTCTAATAAATGAAAAAGACATTTTAAATAGATGAAAGGAATCCTAATAAAGAACCATTTTATGTATTAAATAAACAAATACTTACAAATTTGTACATGATCAAGGCGTGAACAAAAACATAGGAATCAATGGCAATTTGTAGTGGAAGTACTTTTATATGATAATCAAAAAGAAAATTAATTTTTAAGCGAGTTCTAATCGACTTTCTTCAAATAATCTCCTAATTGATCAAAAACCATTTACACATAATGATAATATTATAAAATACTAAGTGATGCTTTAAAGGAAAAAATACCTTTTCATATTTTAATTTGTTCTAGAATATTTTACGTCGTAAATTTCATTTTAAATGTATATTTAAAGAAATCATTAAAATAAAAAAATATAAAAATTTAATTCCGCAGAAAATATAGTAATACCATAACTGCCGCAACTAGTAGAGCTAAAACAAAAGTATTAAGGCTGTTTTATCGGTGCACCAAAATTTTTTCTCTGTTATTTACCGACGAAATGTCTCGAAATTTGGACATGTTATACGAAATTATGTTGCCTTTAAACTGATGGTTTTACTTTTTTTATTTTTTTGAATTTTCTGTTGAAAAATTGGATTATACTGTTTAACGTTCTATTATAACCAAAGTTTTTCACGCCCATCAGTTGAAAGAGTTTTTTTTTCTGTAATCGTTGATTCTTTTTTCACCTTTCTGTGTCCAGTAATAATCGAGAAAAGCGTATTCAAACTTTGAAGAAAATTGCTAAAAAATACTGAAATCTAATAGTGAAACGTATTCCTCATCATTGTCGCTGAGCTTGATCGTTATCGCATTAGTGACGTCAAATCTCATGAGCGTACGGTACGGTCTTATTTTTATTTCTCTATGGGTACGGTCAGTTAGTTCGCTTGAATTAGAATCCATTTTAGTTCTTTCATTCTTGTATTTTCTTTATCAACTTGCTTAGTTTTTTACAGTTTACAGTATTCTTATTTATTTTGAAAACATTGAAATTATTTAGTTTACGTGTATGTTAAGTAATATATTATTAGTTTAGTGGTATAAGTTAAAAGTTCTTTAGTTTACGCGTATTTTTAAGTATTACATTAGGTTAGTGATATAAGTTATAAGAGACAAGATAAAAAATGAGTCCCAGTAAACGTCCTATGTCAAGGAAAAGGAGAGCAAATTGCACTGCTTTAGTATTTATTATTTATATTACAACCGTTTTTTAAAAGCTTTTATTTAACTTATATATACCTATATTTACCTATATATATATATATATATATATTATATATATTATATATATATATATTATATATATATATTCAAGGTTTGAATAATCATTCTCCATTTTCATGCAACTTTTCTAGTATGGAGATTATCAAAGAAAAAATGGACGGATTGATAAGTACATTGACTTTTAAATGTCAATCTGGAATATTGAAAAGGAGATAGCAACATAGGATTCTGGTAACAATTCACTGAACTTGAATGGTTCTGGTTATTCAGACATATAGCAGCAGCATGCTGCATTAAATATACCTGTGATTTCCTACAGGCAGTATGCAAAACATACGGAAACAGTTGCAGATATCATCGGCCAAACACTTTGTGATTCCTTAGAAGAGGCTGGACGGGAGGAATTAGCTTAAGCCAAAGAAATTGGTGAAGTAGATTCCGACGGAAATGGGTTAATAACCGTTATAGCTGATGGTGCTTGGTCAAAAAGATCGTATAAAGTAAACTACGATGCTTCTTCAGGTGTAGTACCTGACATTGTAAAATTTATTAAATTAGTACGCTTTGATGGATAGGACATGTAATTAGGCGAGATGAAGATGAAACGATCAGAAAAAATTTTCGACCGAAGAGGACCAGTGGGAAAACGATCCAGAGGAAGACCAAAACTTAAGTATCAAGATAACATAGAGGATGATCTAAAATCCATCGGAGTTAAAGCATGGAGAAAGTTGCCAGAGGCAGGGGCGAATGGAAGATTGTTCTGAAGAAGCCTTTGGCTCATGACGAGCTGTAATGCCACTGATATGATGAAATAACTATCCACGATTTGTGTTTTATCCATCAATTGGATACTTTTCTTATGTAACTGCAACCTATAAATATATTAAAATAATGTATATTCCATTCAGAGAACATTTTCCTCGCAGTGCGTCGCCTCGAATAAATAACATTACATTGCCAGATAAATACATTTACTATTATGATGGTTTCGCAGGTACCAATTTTTTATAGATAAATAAAAATATTTTTTGTTTACTTTTTACTACGCTAATATCAGTTTTCTCTAACAAATATTAACAATGACATAGCAGTGTAGAAAAGTAAGTGATACGCCCACTTCAAATCGCAGTATGCTATAACTGCGAAAACAGCCTTCTAAACAATAAAAAACGACAAAGTTTTACTCAGTCTAACGTTCAACTAAGCGAAGATACACAAATCAAGAACAAATAAGTAAGAATTATAAACAGTTTTTTCTTTGCACAAAAACAACCCCGCAACAACTATATTAACTTGGGAAAGGATCACTACATGAGCATTGCGACCAATTTGTGGCAATATAGGCTGGATCTGTAAAAAATTCAGATCATAATGGACATTTTCCATAGGAAGCTATTTTTTTGCTGGATGCCCTTCAGGATGTGCCCAATATCGATAATCACGATATGCGTCAGTCGCAAACCCAGTTCAAATTTTTTATTTAATAAAATCTGAAAACAATTAAAAATTTCTCATTTTTTTTGCTTCTATTGTAATCCTAATCCTTTAAATGTTTTCGACTTTCTAAACTTGACTTACAAGCTCCATATTCCACCTAGAAAAACTTTTTAATATGTTTAAAACGTGTGCTAAATTTTGGTAAGATCGGTCGGATAGGTTTTAGTTAGGATAGTAGGCCCTAAAATAAGGCCCTCAGATAGTTGCAAATTTTTTTACATATAACGGAAGGATCAAACTTTTAAACGCTTTTTGTAAAATTCAAAAGGGTTTCACTAGGAGAGCCTAAAAAATTTTTAAAATTTTAAATATTTTTTAGGCTTATAAACAAATTGAATAGTTTTACGAGCTTTAAACATATCAATTTCAAAATTTATGCAGTTAAAGAACATTGTAAGATGCTTCTTTAAAAAAAAGATACATTCGGCTTACTGGTTGCCGAGATATTGAAGGTCAAAGTTGGCATAAATTTGCCATGTATCCATAAGTGATAGAGGGCTCGTTTTTAAACAAATGCCCTCGTCTTG